TTGACAGGTTCTCCAAGGCATGCCACCTAGTGGCATTGGCCAAGCTCCCGTCGGCCCCCAAGACAGCCAGACTCCTTTTGCAGCATGTCTTCCGCCTGCACGGCATCCCATCTGAGATTGTCTCTGATAGAGGGCCTCAGTTTGTCTCACATGTGTGGAAGGATTTTTGCTCCGCGCTAGGGGCCAAGCCCTGTCTATCTTCTGGCTTCCACCCTCAGACCAACGGGCAATGTGAGAGACTTAATCAGGAGTTGGAGAATACCCTGCGTTGTGTTTGTGCATCTAATCCTGGTTCTTGGAGCACCCACCTACCTTGGGTGGAGTATGCACACAACACACATGTCTCGGCCGCTACAGGCTTTTCCCCATTTGAAGCCTCTATTGGCTACCAGCCACCTCTCCTACCATCCGCTTTTCCAGAATCAGCCACCCCTTCTGTTAAAACTCACCTCAGAAGGTGTCAGAGAGTGTGGGGGCAAACTAAAGCTGCCCTGCAACGTACCTCCTTTCAGAATAAAAGGATAGCAGACAGACGACGTATGCCAGCTCCCCAGTACACCCCTGGTCAAGAGGTTTGGCTCTCTTCAAAGGATTTTCCCCTTAAGTCCACCTCTAAGAAACTGTCTCCTAGGTTCCTTGGCCCTTTTACCATCATTTCGGTCATTAGCCCCTCTACAGTGCGCCTCAAACTCCCTTCTCACCTCCGGGTTCACCCGGTTTTTCATGTTTCTCAGATCAAGCCTGTTTTTTCCAGTCCCTTGTGCCCTCCTCCGGACCCCCCTCCACCCTCCCGGCTAGTGGATGGTCATCCTGCCTTTTCTGTCCAGCGCATTCTGGCGGTCCGCCCTCGTGGACGTGGCCGTCAATATCTGGTGGACTGGGAGGGGTATGGCCCAGAACATCGGTCCTGGATTCCCCGTTCCTTTATTTTGGACCCTGATCTCATCTCTTCGTTTGAGAGGTCATCCGCTTCTACCTCTAGTTGTCCGCCAAGAGGCGTCCATTAAGGGGGAGGGTACTGTCATGTCTACGAAGCGGTGCTGTGAGTGTGTTGTCGTCTACCCTCTTTCCTGCAGGGCGTGTCGGACAGGAGCGGCCAGCTGGAGCTCGTCTATCCATCAGGAGGAGCAGTTAAATAGAAGCCGGATCCTGATAGCGCTGCCAGATGGTTCTACGCTTCCAGTGAGTCCTCGTTCCTGGTCTAAGAGTCCTCGGTCTGAAGTAATCCTCGTCCCTGGTCTGCAAGAGGGTCTGATTTGGCTTCTCGTCTAGCTCCACGCGGCTCCTGCTCACAGCCGTTCCCCGTCTCCTGCCTGGCTCCGTTTCTTGTCCTTCCGCCTTCGTTGCGGAATCACCCCGCTCTACACGCTCGCCTGCCTGTCCACCCATCTTCCCCCTGTGGATGCTCCGGCTCTCCCTCCGGGACCTCCCCCGCCGCCCCCCACCGCCTCCTACAAGCAAACCCCCAACGGGTCCTTACCCGCTGCCTGCTGCTGCTCCGTCCACCTGTCTGCCCCCCCCCCCGCTGCTGGTCACAAATAAATTCGAACTTACCTTTTGCTGGTGTGGCGTTTGTAGTTGTTTCTGCTCTAGAGTCTAGCGAACAAACATGTCACTAATAAAGTTAGTGATCTTTTTAGAATGTGCACATGGTAATTACAATATTGAAGACTAAATTAAAAAACAGGAAAATATAAAAAATGCTAAAACATTTGGAAAATACTTGAAGCTTCAACAAATTTTTGAACAAATTTGAGCAAAAGAAAAATGTAGATAATAGACTGACTGTGACTGACCACGACGAGACTAAATGTTTTATGTTTGTTTGTTGTGTTATTGTTTGTTTGTGATTACATAGTATGACTTTGTATAATTAGAATAGAAACAGAAAATAAAATTAAAATAGCAAACAAATTGTACACAGAAGTTGAGAAACTGATCAAATTAATCATTTGATATTAACCTACCCTACCCTATCAAATGTAACTAATTACTTTGATATAAAAAGAAAAAACGTGTGGATAAAGTAACCTGGTTTCTGACTGAGGCTTAGAAATTTTAAATCCGGGATTAATTGATTAATGGACGTTAAATTGACACATTTTTGGAAATAGTGCAATTTGGGATTTTTATTTAATTTTGGAAAGGCTAATTTTCATTAAAAGTGAGAACAGTATTTTGGAGAAGAACCGACTAGAAACATCTTTTGGGGGATAAAAGGGAAATGTTCTACCTTGTGAAATTTGACAAAAGGTTATAATAGGTTATAATAGGTAGCAATTCTTTGAAGACACTAGGTTAATTGATCAAATTTAAAAACAGTAACAATAGTAGCGAAACTAAAGGTGTTGGATGTAAAACTATCATGCATACAAGATACCTGGAACAATAAAATAGAGAAAGAAAACTTAGCATTGAATACTAAGGATTTGTTTTAAGGTACAATAATGAATCTGTTCCATCAGAATTTTTGTTTGCAGTAGTGGACTTTGATTGATGTATTTCCATATAGAAAATACTTCAATAATATTGAAACTTATGAAACATATTGAAACTTATGAAACATAAAAACATTAATAAAAAATAAAAATTAAAACATTTAAGAACATGTTTGATTTGTGCTGAAATGACACAATAACAAGCATAACTCATTGAGAAATTTAAGTTCAAGTAGAAGAGGAAGATTTTCAGAACTTGTATGTCTTTTTAAATTATGTTAATGGATTTTGTTAGGATTACATTTTTAAAAAATTAAAGAAAAGACATGTTTTTGGTGAAGATGGATATTGATGAATTTGAATTTGTGCTCCATTGAAAGGTGTTCTAACAATGTCTAAAGTATTTTGAAAGTAATAATTCCTAGATATGGTGTAATTGAATAAATTTATATTGATAATAAAACACATTTTGGTTAAATAATTGGAGGAAAAAAAATTAAAGGAATTATAGTTCATACTAATTTGAATATTACTACTATAGCCATTTTCAGAACACTAATTTATGGATTAAAATTAATGGATTGAAGAAATGTGTTGAAGACAACAGACAAGCTGTAGACAAAATATCTGTTATTGATTAACAGTAAAAGCATTCAGGAATACCTTTTTCACTTTTTGGGAATTTATTATTTGAAATAAACAACAAGTAAGATTTGGTTAATTCTGTAAAGGTAATTTAGACTGAACTGAGTTTATAGTTTTTGTGAAGCAGGTGGTTACTAGGTTTCTGAATTTTCCATATGTTGGTATGTACTAGAAAATAATAGAAACGTAAATTGAATAAATTTCATCCACCATAAATGTGCAGATGTGTGGTGGTGGTGCAGTGGTGACAAAATTTTTAATAGATTACCTAGGAAGATAACAGGGATGTGTGCATTAATTTATCTATTATTGCCTGTTTCTGTTTATGCAATGACTGCTGATCATTTAATTCATGTTTAACTGATGTTGTGACTCAGCAGTGGCGTAGTTGCAGAAACGAGACCTGACCTGGAGGAACAATGATCCTTTATACATCGATGCCATTGGTGTTCCCCGTGGTGTACCTGACAAATATAAATTGGCCAATCTAATTACAGCAGGTTTTGAATCTTCAATTTGTTGGTGGTGCACATTAAACAAAAACGTTGACAGAATCAAATACATCCATTACAATGTACAAAAACTGGGCAACTGGACACAAGCAGGCGTCGAGGCGGTGCATGAGCAGCTGGCCTCTACATCACTGATGGCTTTCCAGAACCGCATTGCACTTGACATGGTGCTGGCTGAACGAGGGGGAGTGTGTGCAGTCTTTGGTGAAAGATGCTGCACTTTTTACCCAACAATATAGCAGCTGGTGGCAGCCTGACGAAGGCCACTGAGGGGCTCCGTACCCTTAATGGTAAGATGAGGGAGTTCTCTGGAGTGAATACTTCCAGGTGGGAAGACTAGATGAATGTTTTTGGAAAGTACCGAACCATTGTGTCCTCTGCTTTAGTGTCGATGGCAGTCTTTGCTGCCATTCTAACCTTGTGTGGATGCTGTTGTATTCCTTGCCTGCGTTCTTTGTTTAATCGTCTCATCACTACAGCAATTTCGCCCATTGGGAACCAGATGACACCGATGTATCCTTTACTGGTGAACGATCCTGAGTCTGACAGAGAAAGCTCTGATGAGGACTCTTTTGATATGTATCCTGATTCTAAGTTTTGGACTGAGTATAAACCTTGAGTGTAAACATGTTTGCTTTTTTAAAAAATGAACTCCTAGTTGAAAATTGTTTGAAGTGGCTGTTTAGGAGGGATATGAGAATTAGAACAAATATGTGATAAACAGGGGGGAAATGTTGGAGAAATTGTGATATTATTAATCCATTATTTGTTATTCTCATTGATCTTTATTATGTATCTTTATTTTATGCTTTCCTTTAAGTTAATCTCATTATAGAATTATACAATTAAGAATGTTTCTTGTATTGTTGATTTACTCTGATTCCTTTCTCAGAAGGCCTCACTGACAGAGAGCAGAAATAGTGTTTTCCTGAAGGGTTATCTTTTGGTGAAGAGCTCTGCTTTGTTGAGTTGCTGGAATGCTATAAAACTGTCACTGAAGAATCACGGTATATTCTGCTAGACTTTGTGTCAGGAACGAGATTATCTAGTCCACGATAATTTGTGTATTAGTTAGTAAATGACAACTGGTGCTGTAGCTATATGATGAATCGTTTTCCCCTCCCTTTGGAGCTACAGCGTCCTTGTGATTAGGGATCCTGAAACAATAAAATGAGAGGAGTGGACAAATGTGCTTCAGAGCGGTAGGAGATTGTGACTGAAGCACATCTCTGTCCGTTCTCCTCGCAAGTAGCAAGAATACTGACTCTGTTTGTCTTTTCTGTCTTTATGAAGTATGTTCAACAGGTTTTAACCTTAACAGTTTCCCAGCAGACTGACTAAAGACATTTCTCCCTCTTCCTCCTCTATCAGACCTTCTCTGCTCCTGCAGCAGGTTCCTCCATACCTGAGAGCTTCCAGTCTCCAGTGTGGATCCTTCAGTCCAGCCGACAGCAGCTTCACTCCTGAGTCTCGTGGATGATTGTAGCTCAGGTTCAACACTTTCAGATGGGAGGGGTTGGAGGTCAGAGCTGAGGCCAGAGAAGCACAGCCTTCCTCTGAGACCAAACAGCCTGATAAGCTGCAGACACACAATTCATCACATGATGAGAAAATGAGAACATTGAGGTAGAACCCAAGGTCTGAACTGATGGATGGATGGATGGATGGATGGATGGATGGATGGATGGATGTGTAATTATGTTTTTTTTTTGGCACCTAAGATGCAGCAATCTGTCAAGAGCCCAGAGTTACCTGAGAGTTTCCAGGTTGCAGTTTGGACTCTTCAGTCCAGCAGAGAGAAGTTTCACTCCTGAATCCTGCAGGTTGTTGTTACTCAGGTCCAGTTCTTTGAGACTGGAGGACTGGGAGCTGAGAACTGAGGACAGAGCTTCACAGCTTCTCTCTGAGAGGTTACAGCCACTCAGTCTGAGGAGACAGGGAGGAAAATATGTTATTAAATGATTCTTCAAAATGTCTATTTTCCAGTCAACAATGTTCCTCTTTACTGATTTAATGGACTGTTTTATATATAATCATGTTTCCTTTTGTTGTGAACTGGTTCAGTCTATATTTGGGTCTCCAGTCATGAAGGACTGAACTAAAGGCAACAAGGAGGCTGGCAAGAGAAATATTAAATTCCTCTATGAACTAAATGAATCCATGTCAGTTTTAACAGAAAGAGTCCAATGAAGCCTGAGAATCAAGGCTGGGCTGAAGATCAGCATCAGGCTCAGTTTGAGGATCAGCATCAGAGCTGGTTTGAGGGAAAACAGCAGCTTGAATCAAAGCAGAGCAAATCTCCAGTTTCATCTTTACATGTTTTAACTGTTGGATACAGAGCTGGAAAACTAAGCAGCAACTCACAAAAACAATGTTTCGAATAAGAATCAAATTGCTCAATAAAGGGAATGAAAAATATCTGTGTGTGTAAAACTGGATTTGTAAACCTTAATAAAATAAATCTTGTTTGCACAAGTCACCAAAACTGCATTTACACACAGATCCGGTTCTGAGTGCAGAAGTATTTCTGAGACTCACTTCAGCTTCAGCAGATCCCAGATTTGTGTGTAGATGGTGCGTTTACATGCTAGTAGAAAGCTGGGTCATCTGAGTTTTACTCTGAGTCCAATGTTTTTATCCACTGAACCAGATGTGCTCAAATCCAGTCCTGGAGAGATACCATCCTGCAGCTTTTAGAAGCATTTTTGCTCCAACAGACCAGGATCAGCTCTGAACAGGTCTGGTCACGAGTCATTCATCTGATTCAGGTGTTTCCAGGACTGGACTTGATCAGCCCTGCTCTAAACATTTCACTGTGCTTGTGGCAAATACCTTAGTTCAGTGGAAAACATAACTCTCAGAACTTCCTTATAATATCCCAAATTATTGATAGACATATTGTGCATTTTTGAGTGTTACAGGCAAGGATGTAACTTTGTGTTGCAAGTTGGTGGGATGAAGAGGAGAAGGGGTCAGAAGGTCAGGGGGGGTTGGGCTGCAGATGCAACTAATGTCACTGGACGACTTTTTCTTTAATGCTAAGAATAAAGAAAAAAACTTACATGTGAATATGAGACACTCTTATTCAATAAATTAGGATAAACGTCCTGATCAGGCTTATCAGATTAATAGAAGATTTTGAAAATAATCTTACAGGATTATTTTAGGATTATACTACAAAATATAAATATGTTAAAACATACGTAATATAATTAATCTATATAATGTTTTTCACTTGCTGATGGAATTACTAATAAAGTGACTTTTCAGTCATACTCTAATTTATGGAATGAGTCTGTATATTTGCTTCATTTTTACCTATTGAAAACAGTTTCATAATTCAGTCATATTTTTTGTGAAGATTTATCACATAGTTTCCTTTTATTGTCTGATTTTATCAAGTGCTGAAAACATCAACATGAGATTCTGTAACAATCAAAATGTTATTAAACATATTAAAAGCAGAATAAGTAACTTCTGTGTAACCAAATAAATCCTTGTCAGTTCAAACTTTGTATTTTTAAATGATGTGATTCTGACTCCACAGCTGGTTGGAAAAACCTTTTGTCCTGCTGATTCACACATAGCAGATGAGATATGATGCGTCTTTAATATGGAAAATATTAAAGAAGCAAAACCATGTTGGGTTTGGTTGGAGCAGTTGGTGAGTAGAGAGACCATCGATGTTACTGGATTCTATGAAATGAGGCTTAAAGCCAAACATATTTTACATGTTTGGATATGTAAAATATTTATTCTCGCTGCATATAAATCTATAATTTGGTTTCTGTCAGTTCTAGAAACAAGAGAGAACAAAGTGAATTTATCTTTATAATGGCCCATAAGTGAATTTTACTATGTAGGAGCCAGGACTGTGGCTCTTTATGCTTTATGAAATATTTTATTCTATTTGATGATTGCTCTGAATATCATCCCATTCTACAAACAAATTATACAAATTTGACCAGGGAAAAATGTAGAAAAATTGGTTGTATTATTTTTTTTCTCAGTCTTTCAGTTTCACGTCACATGCAGACTCTTTACCATGGTAATTAATAAACAGCAGCTCTGGGAGCAAAGAGCAAAGATCATGTTCAAAGTGCATCAGGAACTAAAAGAACCACAAAAACATTTCCCACACAAAAACGGAAAAACAAACACCAAATAGAACATTCTGTCTGTTGCAGATTTATGTTTCTGAATTTCCATTTTGCATCATGAGGAAGTGATGCTGAACTCTATTGGTGATTTATTAGCTACTTAAACACCTGAACTTATCATTATCTGTCAGAAAATCTGTGCATCAAATTGTTTTTGTGATGATTGAACCAAAATATTCTGAACTGCGCAGCAAGAGTTCATGTTAATGTGATAAAAGTTAAGCTGTCATAACAAACTTACTTTCTTCATATATTTGTTTTAATTAAAGCGTTTTACTGACCTGTAAAATGTCATCCTCTTGGACCTTGTTATCTACTGTTAACAATTAATATCAAAACTTTGCGTTTCCTTCTCAGATTTTGATTGCGTCATTTTCCTGATTCAATGCAAATCAACAGCGCCTGTTGCGCACAGTGAGTCACGTGATGTCCAGTCCACTAGACCAGTGAACAGACTTAATATTTAATTTCACAAAGAAATTTTAAAAACCACTTAATAAATAGAATACAACATGCAGCTGCTGTCAAGTTAAACAGATGCACATAAAGAAAATCAGTTGCAGCAAATATTGGTGGGGACATGTCCCTTCATGTCCACAGGAGACTAACTGGTCTGAAAAATTAGTTTTATTTATTTTGGATATTGAAAATGTCTACCAGTACGAGTGTTAAATGTTCATTAGAATTCAAAGTATAATGTCCTTTGAGAATGTGTTCTTGCATTATTATTTCTTCATTATCATTATATTACTTTAAAAAATTGCCTTTCCAAAGTCTTTCAGATCAATTTGATTAGCAGCAATGTCGATCATATTTCAAAATTGCTGGTCTTGGTCTTATCATTTATAAATGCTATGATTGTAAACTAAATATTTAATTATCAAATTAAACATTCAGCTTCAAACTAAATGTTTCCCAGCAGACTGACTAAAGACATTTCTTCCTCTTCCTCCTCTATCAGACCTTCTCTGCTCCTGCAGCAGGTTCCTCCATACCTGAGAGCTTCCAGTCTCCAGTGTGGATCCTTCAGTCCAGCCGACAGCAGCTTCACTCCTGAGTCTCCTGGATGATTGTAGCTCAGGTCCAACTCTTTCAGATGGGAGGGGTTGGAGGTCAGAGCTGAGGCCAGAGAAGCACAGCCTTCCTCTGAGACCAAACAGCCTGATAAGCTGCAGACACACAATTCATCACATGATGAGAAAATGAGAACATGGAGGTAGAGACCAAGGTCTGATCTGATGGATGGATGGATGGATGGATGGATGGATGGATGGATGGATGGATGGACGGACGGACGGACGGACGGACGGACGGACGGATGGATGGATGGATGGATGGATGGATGGATGGATGGATGGATGGATGGATGGATGGATGGATGGATGGAATCTGTAATTATGCTTCTTTTTGCACCTAAGATGCAGCAATTTGTCAAGAGCCCAGAGTTACCTGAGAGTTTCCAGGTTGCAGTTTGGACTCTTCAGTCCAGCAGAGAGAAGCTTCACTCCTGAATCCTGCACGTTGTTGTTACTCAGGTCCAGTTCTCTGAGACTGGAGGACTGGGAGCTGAGAACTGAGGACAGAGTTTCACAGCTTCTCTCTGAGAGGTTACAGCCACTCAGTCTGAGGAGACAGGGAGGAAAATATGTTATTAATACAATTCATAAAAATTATGTTCTTTCAAATAAACAATGTTTTCATTGGACAGAGAAGGATCTATCTTATTTTACACAATCTTTGCATTTGTTGTGAACTGGTTCATTCTATAGTTTTTCTACCTCCAGCCTTAAAGGACGGAACTACAGGTTACAAAGAGGTTGGAAAGAGCATCATGAAATTCCATAATCGGCATGCTGTAGTGGCGCAGGGGGTTAGCACGCCCCATGTTTGTAGGCCTCAGTCCTCCACGTGGATGTCGCATGTTCAACTCCCAGTCCCAGCGACCGTTGCCGCATGTCTTCAGCCCTCTTTCTTGTCTGCCTACTGTCGAAAATACGAGTGACTAGTGCCGCAAAAACTCTTCGGATAAAAAAATAAAGTAAAATTCCATAATTTACTATATTAATCCAATTTCAACAGTGGAGGAGTTTTGCTGCCTTAACATGTAGCATTATGTCAAGCTGCTGTAGGAAGTCAGTTTCTTTCTTCACAATCCCCCAATGGGATACTTTGAATAGACAATGCACCAATATTTAAATTGAAATATGAATATTTACCTCATAATTAGCAGATTTCTATCTATAAAATAACTGCAGTAACAATCTGTGTCCTTACAGAGCTTTGTTGGAGGCTTTAACCACTGGCAGCAGCCTCAGAAGAACCTTCTCTGAAGCAGAGTATTTCTTCATGTCAAACACATCCAGATCTTTTACTGATGACACTAAGATGAAACCCAGAGCTGACCACTGAGCAGGAGACAGTTTATCTGTGGAGAGACTTCCTGAACTCAGAGACTGTTGGATCTCCTCCACTAGAAAACGATCATTCAGTTCATTCAGACAGTGAAACAGATTGATGCTTTTCTCTGCAGACACATTCTCACTGATCTTCTCCTTGATGTACTGAACTGTTTCCTGATTGGTCTGTGAGCTACTTCCTGTCTTAGTCAGCAGACCTTTTAGGAGTCTCTGATTGGTCTGCAGTGAAAGTCCCAGGAGGAAGCGGAGGAACAAGTCCAGGTGTCCATTTGGACTCTGTAAGGCCTGGTCAACAGCTCTCTGATGGAGAGACTTCAGGTCAGATTTATTAACTAATGAAAATTTCTCAGATGTTGATGTTTCTTCCATCAGGTTGACACCAGAGTTGATGAAGGTCAGATGAACATGAAGAGCAGCCAGAAACTCCTGAACACTCAGATGGACGAAGCAGAACACCTTGTCCTGGTACAGACCTCTCTCCTCTTTAAAGATCTGTGTGAACACTCCTGAGTACACTGAGGCTGCTCTGATATCCATGCCACACTCTGTCAGGTCTGATTCATAGAAGATCAGGTTTCCTTTCTGCAGCTGATCAAAAGCCAGTTTTCCCAGAGACTCAATCATCTTCCTGCTCTCTGGACTCCAGTGTGGATCTGTTTCAGCTCCTCCATCATACTTGACCTTCTTCACTTTGGACTGAACCACCAGGAAGTGGATGTACATGTCAGTCAGGGTTCTGGGCAGCTCTCCTCCCTCTCTGGTCTCCAACACATCCTCCAGAACTGTAGCAGTGATCCAGCAGAAGACTGGGATGTGGCACATGATGTGGAGGCTTCGTGATGTCTTCATGTGGGAGATGATCCTGCTGGCCTGCTCCTTATCTCTGAATCTCTTCCTGAAGTACTCCTCCTTCTGAGTGTCATTGAACCCTCTGACCTCTGTCACCATGCCAACACACTGAAGAGGGATCTGATTGGCTGCTGCAGGTCGTGTGGTTATCCAGAGGAGAGCAGAGGGAAGCAGTTTCCCCCTGATGAGGTTTGTCAGCAGAACATCCACTGAGGTGGACTCTGTAGCATCAGTCAGGATCTCCTTGTTGTGGAAGTCCAGTGGAAGTCGACTCTCATCCAAGCCATCAAAGATGAACAGAACCTGGAAGTGTTCAAAGTTGCAGATTTCTTTGGTTTCACTAAAGAAATGATGAACAAGTTCCACCAAGCTGAACTTTTTATCCTTCAGCACATTCAGCTCTCTGAACGTGAATGGAAATATGAACTGGATGTTCTGGTGGGCTTTGTCTTCAGCCCAGTCCAGAGTGAACTTCTGTGTTAGGACTGTTTTACCAATGCCAGCCACTCCTTTTGTCATCACTGTTCTGATTGGTTGATCTCTTCCAGGTGGGACTTTAAAGATGTCTTCTTGTCTGATTGTTGTTTCTGGTCTGTGTGGTTTCCTGGATGATGTTTCAATCTGTCTGACCTCATGTTCATCATTGACCTCTCCAGTCCCTCCCTCTGTAATGTAGAGCTCTGTGTAGATCTGGTTCAGAAGGGTTGGACTTCCTGCTTTAGCAATTCCCTCAAACACAGACTGGAACTTCTTCTTCAGACCAGATTTAAGTTGATGTTGACAAACTGGAGCAAAAAGTCCTAAATTAACACAATAATGAAAATCAGATATGAAAGAAAATCATCTTTTGAATTTGATTACATCACTTCAGCAAATGTATAATTTATCTATCATTTCAAATCTCTTTAGAAATCCTCTTACTGATCTGCAGATGGCCAGCCAGCTTTTCCTGCTTCATCCTCCTCAGGAAGTTCAGTGTGATCTTCATCAGTGCCTCTCTGATGCTCCTCCTCTGCTCTTCATCATCACCTTCCAACACCTCATCATCTCTCTGACTCTCTGAATGTTCTGGGTAATCTGGACTCAGAACTTTCTGGATCTTCTTCAGTTCTTTCTTCACAAAAGTAACAATGTTGTCCTCCAGCAGCTGGAACAGAATAATAGATGAAGGAAACATCAGAGTGAAATCATGGAGCCAAACACCAGATGGATGTTGGACAGACTGACAGTCCTCTGATCTACAAAGTTCAGCATGAAGGTGACTTTGAACAGAACTCATGAAAAAGTAGTTGTTGTTCATATACAGACCATAAATATGGAGTCCAGCTGTGTTTGATGCTGCTGGACAGATGGACCCCTGGGAACCTCTGAGCTTTGCTGGTCCACTCTGTGGAGGAACCAGGAACAATTAGGAAGTTAGGAAATATTCATCCAGCAGTATTCACAGAGGAAATCATCTGGAGTTTCAGATTAAAAGTCTTTAATACAGAAAAACAGAGTATCACATGAACACAGTTCAAAGTTAGAAAGAGGAAGATGATCTACACTGATGAATACCAGTAACACCAGAATAATCCAGTGGACATTTTAAAAAGTTGATTTTGAACTTGGACTTCAAACAGTCCAAACTGTCAGCAGATCAGATGCTGGTGGAGACAGTTTCCCAGAGCTTGGGGACAGTGGAAGTGAAGACTCTGTCCACACAGGTCTTCAGGACAGTGTGGGACATCCATCAGGTTCTGATGACTAGATCTGAGGTGATGTGGACATGGAGGAGGTCTGAAATATGTGGGTGTGTTCATGTGGATCCTCTCCTGGATGTTATAGTGAGGATTTTAAAATGGATCCTGTAGATCCTTGGAAGCCAGTGAGCTCACATTGTATCTGTCCACACAGAGACAATCAGAAGGTAAAGGTCCATGCAGTGATATCTGGATGTGAGCAGTGAACCAGGTGATCTAAGTAGTTGTAAAGATTTAATGTTCCTGCTGATCCCATTAAGAACCAGCAGAACCTCTGATGGTCCACATCAGCTCAGTTTGGTTGAGTTCCAGCAGATCTCACCAACCACATCATGAAGCTTTCCTTCCCTGCTGAACTGCTCTCACAATGCACACAGGTACCAAGTCCTGATGGACTAGAATGGCTTTACCAGGTATTTCCCAGTGGAAATATGATCCACTGTTAGTTTGACAAGGAGCCAGGAAGCAACAGAACATCATCATCAACATCCAGAGACAAAGATATGAAGGTGTTTTCATGAGAACAGAGCAGCTGATTTCTGTAGATAATGGATCAAACCTCTGTAAATATAACTGGAAACATCTGAGTTCTTACTGGTTCAGTTTACAGAGTTACAGCTCACCTCTCTGATGATGGAGATCCAGGAGATTTAAAGTCAACGGGAGGAAGATCCATTGACCTGTCACTCTTAAAGGAGACACAGCTGGGTTCTGGTTCTGGTTCTGGTTTGAATCTCTGATGGATCCTGAAAGAAAAACATTTATTAGAAATTTTCTGTTTTTTACTTTCAAGATAATTTTTTTTTATGTGACTATAAAATAAAAAGCTGTAAACTGAAATCAGAACCAGACAGATCATCAACCTGATGTTCTAAATGATTCCTATCAGAACCGGTCCAATCCTCCAACATGTTCCTTATCATTGATCCTCCCATTGAAGGAGGGTCTGATGGAGCTTCAATCAGAACTGAATGTGAATTTGGAGAACATCTCATTCTGAGTTTGATTCACAGGAGACATTATTTAGAAGATAATCCACCACGTTCAATGATGTTTTAATCTCAGAGATGCAACATGAATCATAAAATTCAGTCATAGAAACTTTTTCTTTCAGCATCATGCAAATATACTTTGTTTTATATTCAGTGAATACGTAACAGTGGTCAGTGGGGACATGTTCACTTGGCTGACCTTTACGCTTCAACAACCATCAAATCTTTCAAAATGTAACTTTTAAAATATATTTGCATGTTATATGACCAAGACATGTGGATAATTTCATTACTTGATTTCTGTCAAAAAATTTGGGTTTATCTAAATATGAAAATACTTTAGATAAACCTGAGACTCAAAATGCACTGAATTCAGAGAATGACCCAATTGCTTATGAATGATGTCAGTTAGAGATGATCTGGTTCTGAAAGATATCCACGAGATAGTTTTTAGCTTTATTGTGGAAATTGTTAATAATCCACCATGTTGGATGATGTTTGAACCAGAGAGATGAAAATGGAATCAAAAAATTAATTCATAAAAGGCTTTTTCTTTCAGCATTACTCTGGAAAATAAATTAAATTTAGATTTAGAGAACAATCCAAATACCAATTTATAAATTAAACTAATTTCTGCCTTTTGTGTTTGTGTGTTAAATTAATATTGGATGGCAAAAATAAGAGATATAAACAGAAGTTACAGCAGTTAGAAACAGCTCACCTCTCTGATGGTGGAGATCCAGGAGATTTAAAGTTAATGGCGTCTTCCTTTGACTTGTTGCTCTTAAAGGAGACACAGCTGGGTTTTGGTTCTGGTTCTGGTTTGAGTCTCTGATGGATCCTGAAAGAAACATGATGATTAAAACTTAATCAGCAAAGAGGAGCAGCAGCAGCTTCATCACCACGTCTGTTCTGGCCTGATATAGTGAACGCCCTGAAAAGGGCTGTGGACAGTTAGAGATGGTGACCTCACCTGTGACCTTTGCTCTGGCTCTCATCTTCCCCACACAGAGTAAATGATTAAGAATGATTTCCAGATCATTCTTAACATTTTCCAATGCTATAAAAATGTGTGGAATAAATATTAAATTTCAACATTTCCATGAACAAAGATTTGTGTCATAGCCTGTGATGTTTCCTTCAGCTGGGCAGGACGCAGGCAGGTGGCTGTTGTAAACGAACCGGTGGGTGTGTGGTGGGCCGTAGAGAGCAAAAGGGGGAAAGAGGAAAATAGCCGAGGAGAGATTCTACAATTTATGGACCGAATCATTTGCATTCATTGCCAATGAGGAAGGATTACCTGAATGTTTTCTCTGCAGTGAGAAGTTGTCAAATAACAAAAATAGTACCGTACTGTCCGGACTATAGAGAGCACCTTAATATATGCCACACCTACAAATTTTTTTGAAAACGTATATAAGCTATGCTGAGCTAATAGCCATGTGGTTCAAAGCGTATGGAAAACGTAGTGCCTTATAGTCCTGAAAATACGGCAATGTGGACATTTCCAGGGAAGAGACATTAGTTGCCGCGTCAAGATTAAAGCTCCATCTTACAAGTCTGATGTTGAGAAGCTGTCTAGTGATGTTTGCTAACAGAAGTCACATTAAACACGTAAGAACACAGTCCTGTCTTAGGCACAAATATTAGAAGCCATGTTTTTATCAACTGATTAATGATTTTATCAGTATATATTTAGAATGACTCTCTGCGATATTATTGTGTTTTGTTGCTCAGGTTGCGTGTCAAAAGAGACGAGGATTCTGCTGTTTTGCACTGACTTGCTTGGCATTTGCACAGAAATCAAACTTAAACTGTATTAATTTAATTTTATGTTTAGTCTACTGTTTTATTTTTATAGCTGCAGGTTGTGTTTTATTGATCTCTGTTTGCTAACCAGATAAGGGCATGTCAGGCACGTTTCGTTTTGTTGTTTTTTCATCACTTAAAGCTCCACTGTACAACAGAGTCACGTGGTGCGTCATACAGTCCAGGACCCACTGCAGGGAAAATAAACATTTACTCATCAATGCTAATTATCTTAGTCATTTTGACAGTGGGCTAAAATAGCTAACATAAACACTTAAAACTTGATTTGCCTTCATTATAAGCCTTGTATAAGGCTTTTAGATTTTTGCAGCTTCAGACTGATCTGGTTTTTGTTTATTTTGGTCCAAAATGGCTCTTTCAACATTTTGGGTTGCCGACCCCTGAGTAACCCAAAATGAGCTTTTCTGATCTTTAAAACAGTCTGCAGCCAAGTTGTTATAGAGGTTAAACAGTAATAAGGCTTATTTAGTAAAATAGCAGAACATTTTCTTATTTCATAACTTGCTTCATAAACAGCTAAATTTTCTCATATGGTCTGTTTTAATAACTACAGTCTCAGATAAATTCAGCCCTCCAGCTCTGTCAGCAGCAGAAACATCAACATTTTACCTGTTGGAGAAAACATAGACAATCTTCGCTTTGCATTGTTCCCACATGATGACAATAATACAGTATTATCCAATTAAATATTAGATTTTTGTTTAATATGGGTTGTAGCTATGTTGTTGTTCGGTATTTTAAGATCTGGTTCAATGTGCCTCTTTTTAACCTTGAGCCCCTGTTCCTCCAAATATCTCTTCACGGTCCTGCATGTAAACCTAGAAATGCTATTCATTTCTATCATTCTATCTATCATTCTATCTATCTATCTATTTCTATTATTCTATCTATATCATTTATTGGATCTCAAGGAAAAATCAGATCAAATATTGGGATTCCTGTGAACCACATTGACCTGGAGAAGCTCTGGGTTGAGACTGTGGGTCTAATGGACCGAATTAAAACTCAGAAGTTCTTTCATTAATTTTGCAGAACCAACGATGCAGTTGGACTTTATTGTCTCCATGGTATCATGTTAACATAGAGACATCAATGTCATTGATGTAATGCATATGTGTTGGAGACAATGTGATATTATTAATCAAATATTCGTTATGCTCATGTAACCTTATAATATCTTTATTTTATGCATTTATTGTTTAATCTCATTATAGGATTAAGAATGTTTCTATATTGTTAATTTGCTCTGATTCCTTTCTCAGAAGGCCTCACTGATGGAAAGCAGAGACTGTTTTTCCTGAAGTGTTACCTCTTGGTGAAAAGCTCTGCTTCGTTGAGTTGCTGCATTGCTATAAAACTCTCATTGTGAAGATTCACTACATATTCTGTTAGACTCTGTGTCTGGAACGAGATTATCTAGTGCAAGATAATTGTGTCTTAGTGAGTAAATGAGAACTGGCGCTGTAGTTGTGTGAAGAGTTGTTTCCCCTCCCTTTAGAGCTACAGCGTCCTTGTGATTAGGGATCCTGAAAACAACAAAAAGAGAGGAGCAGACACATGTGCTTCAGAGCGGTAGGAGATTGTAACTGAAGCACATCTCTGTCTGTTCTCCTTGCGAGCAAGAAAGAATCTAACTCTTTTGTCTTTCCTGTCTTTGTTAATATGTGTTTTATAGGTGTTTAACCCTAACAATATGAAAGGAAATTAACTGAAATTCAGTCCAATGTTTTCATGACAACAGAACCCAACAGACTTATCATCACATGGCCACAATAACAGATAGAAACTGAACACTTACAGCAGTTAGAAAACAGCTCACCTCTCTGATGGTGGAGATCCAGGAGATTTAAACTCAATGGGTTCAAACTTTGCCCTGAGGCTCTTAACGGACACACAGCTGGGTTCTGGTTCTGATTCTGGTTCTGGTTTGCATCTCTGATGGATCCTGACAGAAACATGATGATTAAAACTTAATCAGCAAAGAGGAGCAGCAGCAGCTTCATCCACGTCTGTTCTGGCCTGATATAGTGAACGCCTCACCTCTGACCTTTGCTCTGGCTCTCATCTTCCCCACACAGAGTGGTTTTAGAGGGAGGGACTCCCTCCTCTCTGTCCTCACACTGATCCATGCTGCTGAATCCACATCAGCTCACACACACTTTCTAGCTTCACCTGCAGAGGAAACACACATCATTCATCTGCACATCAACTCTGATCATTTACATCATTAGTGCTGGAAAAAGATCAGCTGCTCCTCCTCTGATTGGCTCTTCTTCTCTGCTTCATATCAGTCAGGTGAATGCAGTCAGACAGCAGAGAGGCAGAGGAAGCTGCCATCAGCTGCTGCACTTCTACTATCAGTCCACTAGATGGAGACATGGAGCAACATTTACATTCCCCGATTCAACCTGAACAGGAAGGATTTTAGTTAGTTAATTGTTAAACGATACAAGTGGATTACCTGCTACATCAAAGTTCAACTAATTAATAATCTGACTGAATCAAAGACATTTTAAAAATATTTCATTTGACACAAAGCTGCAAGAAACTGTTGTGTTTGACATTAATAGTTAGTCTGGAGTTTGATTCCTGGGAATAAAATGATAAATTAATTTGTTTAGAAAATAAATAAACATCAAGCTGTTCATCATGTTTTTCTTCAAATTCATCAATAATTTAATAATCCTGTAGATTAACTTTCAAACAGCAGAGATGAAACTTTGAGCTGAATTTAAAAGTGAATATTTTCTCTAAATGTCAGAACAGAAACAAATAGAAACGTTTCTGTAGATAATCTTCAAGCAGAAACAAAACAGACTTACAGTTTGTTCAAACTGTCCAAAGAGTTGAAGACGAACATCTGAACCACAGACAAAACCCCAACAGAACCGCAGGAGAACCAGACTAATGCCACACCTGTACAGAGACTCAACAGAACTGGACTTTTTCCTGAACAACAAGAGTTCAAAGTCAAAGTGTTATTAAAGTTGCATAAGTGATTATATGACGGCTCACCTGGTTTGTAGTTTCTTCTTTCAGAGCAGCAGAAGGTTTGCTGTAAAATCAGAGGCAGGTTGATGAATCTTCATGAGACAGGAGAGAAGTTCTGATGAAAATGTTTCATGATGGAGTCATGAGGAGAAAAGAGTCCAGAGAAAAGAGCAGCTGGTTGATTCCTGCTGTAGTAACTGGTCAGAATATAAATAGAAACAGGAAATAATCAGAAAAACTAAACTAAACTGTAATCCTTAACATCACCACACTACTGCAGCTGAAACCACACATTGTTCTAATGCAGATCATTCCTAAAGCTCCTATATAATCATTGATCATGATGTTAGTGTGGTGAGCAGAGTGAGGACAGTCTCTGGTTAAAACCAGGATCAGCTGAGGAGGTTCTGCTGATCCAGGTTGAAACCCTGATTTCATTTCAATCATCAACCTGAATTTAAAGTCAGAGTCAGATCAAGCAGCAGAGAGGTGGCAGCTTGTTCCAGACTCATTATTTACACATGCAGCTGTTTTCCAGCTGTTCTCCTCCACAGCTGGAGGGAGGGGGATGTTTGGAGGAGAGAACCTGAACATTCAACCTCCAGGTTTTACAGCTGGATTCTGACCTCAGCAGCTGGAACAAAGACAAAGATGAAACCAGTGACTCCTGGAAAATGGGATGTTTGGATCTGCAGGTCTGCAGATTCATTGACTGGGATTTATTCAGAAAATGTCTCAGAGCTGAGAAGAGCTGAGCTTCTTTAGACTGAATGCTGGGAAACCTTCACTCCTCCATTCAGTGATGTTCAGGCTCTGAACTTTCAAAACTAAAATCAGTTAGTGTTTGATTAAGCAGCTTAAGTTTTCTAAAGGAATATTGCATGAGATGATCTGAGATCTTAGTTTGTCTTCAGGATGGTAATTTTCATTTTTCATACTTTGACAACCAAAATGATATTTCGCTCTGTTGATTCTAACAGTGTAAGGAGGAAGTAGGACTGCCTACAGTCGACCTTTGACCTGTCTGAGACTGACACCTCCTAGCTCCTCCCACCTGCTGGATTTGTTCCCGCCTTAAGTTTTTATAGTGATGCTCATCGTTATCACCCCTCCCTTTGAGTTTCACAGAGTTTAGGAAGAAAGAAAAAACCTGCCATGTTTGATAGAATAAATGGATGTTTATATAATAACTGAGCATTAATTTTTATTGTTAGTATTTACATATCAAAGATTAATAAAACTGTTTAAATGGGTTTTAAATATTTTAGTTACATTTTAGAATAATAAGGGATTTATTTGTAGAAATTACTTTCATATTGACATAAAACATTTTTAATAAAACCAACATTTTAGCTGCTTTAGATTCCATTCCTTCCTCTTTACTTAAAAAACAAAACAATCACAATCTAAGCTTCTGAAGCTTTTAAATTCTTTCTTTGGAAATTACTGAATGGAAATAGCAAATGGCTTCTGATATGACATAATGCACAATATAACGTATGAACCTTTTGACCAAATGCATCATGGGATGCTTTGCTGGTTGATCCCCAATGTCACATAATGTGTTACACAATGTTTTGGATTGATTAAATCCATTGAAAACAGATTGATCACTTACTGTTTTAAACTAAACTTAAAACTGCACTTTACAATAAACTTAAACCTTTACTAGGCTTCCTTTAATTGGAGTTTTACCACAAAAACTTGGACCAATTCAGTTGATTCACCATCATTCATGACTGCCGGCTGCCGTCCATCACCACCTTATCATTCCTCCTTAAAATAAAAGGAACAGCTTGGTTTGGACCAGAAGCTGCAGGAAGAGCAGCGACATTCTGGATCCTGCTGCTGCTGCTGCTGCAGGTTCTGTCCTGCAGGGCGGCGCCGCTGGAGGCGTTTGAAGCTCATCACCAGGTTTGTTGGTCATGAAGTATTTGGAGGGCAGAGTCCAAACCGTCGTCCATCTGATACCAGAACAAACTGTCTCCAGTAGTGGGACACATAAGCAGCAACGTCCTTCTGAAATAAGGATCTTATATTCCTGGTTCTGCTGGAGGGTTTAAAGGAGAAACTCATTTCACCCACAGCAGATTCACAAACAGAACAATGTCTGTATGCAGCTCTGTCCTCCCCAGAACCACGACGCCCTTAAAGAAAGGAGAACATCTTTAGGAACGGCGTCCAGAACGAGAGCAAATTCCCTGGAGGGAACTGGGATCCAGTAGCTGGATAGAAATTCCCAGGAAGACTTTAGGTAGCGTCAGAGTTTAGTCATTGTTTTACTAAAGTTCTTGATTGTAAAACCAGTTGGGGACAAACAGAGTTTGGTTTTTGTCAAGAATATTCTGGTTATTCCAGATGAGAAATGTGTGAGGAGAGAAATGTTTATAAATAAGAGACCAAGCAAGAAGCATCTGATAATGGGCTGGTTTTAGTTAGACTAACTAGTACTATAGGTTAGTTAACTATATTATAGTCAGACTTTAGTAACAATGAAAGGCCACGCAGTTTAAATCTAATTATTGATCAGATTCCACAAAGAGTGGAGGTTCAAAAAAAACAAAGATATTAAATTCAAAGTAAAATTAAAATTATACATTAAATATATAGATACATGTGCCATTGATTAAAATTCAGAAACAACTGTAAATAGGTGTGTTTTTAGTCTTGAGTTAAAGGAATTCAGTGTTTCAGCTGTTTTGCAGTTTTCTGGAAGTTTATTTAAGAGTTTGTGTACATTGAAGCTAAATTCTGCTTTAAAATGCTTGGTTTTGGCTCTGGGGATGCAGAGCAGACCAGAATCAACTAAATGTTAGTAGTGAAGTGCAAAAATATTTTGGTGAAAAAATGGCACTCTTATGGTTTATAAGAGAGCCATTCCACACATATTCCACACATTTATTATTCATAATAATTCAAATTAACAATATTTGATCAAAATATATTTTATTTTTTGTATATCTTTAGACCAACGTTTTCCAAGGTTGGTCAAAAGGTTGGGTTTAGCAATCCAACTAATTTTTATAAAATATTCAGTCTTACAGCACAAAGTAATCATATAGCCAACTCATCCCCTGTGTAATGAGCAAACACGTGAATTAGAAGGACATTGTAATAATTAGCAGAACCTTCTGGCAGACAACCAATCAGAATAAGACCTTGTGTTCATTCATGAGGTCTTGCTATTACACAAACCTGCCAAAGGGGGCACTGTGGTGATACACAGATTATCCACAAAATCATGTTTATACGAATTAAACGGGCATCTTGCTTTATTTTTATTTTTTTTTTTTATTTTTTTTTGCATTTTGGGGCTTAATGGACCAATAGAAACCTTTCTAAGTTTTTAGATTTTTGTCAAAATTAGCAGTTTCATGGCTCATGTCCTGTTAATTCAAAATGTCCTTCTAGTGTGGTGTGTATTCTGACGAAATGTCCTACTAAACAATATTTACCAATTCACACACATACACACACGGCCACTGCATGAAGACTGCTGGCTTATTAACCCCGTTCATATTTATAAATTCTTTAGTGAGAAAAGAATGACTTCAATAGATTTTACGCTCAATAAATAGAGAAACTCTTTCAATTGATCCTGTTAATACTAAGTCCTGAACAGAAGGATCAACAACACTAATGATCCTCAAAGGGTCCACGAACCACAGATTGAGAAACTGTGAAGGGGAACTGTAATCACTTGAGTTCTTCAATGAAATAACAAAATTGACCCTCTTTCACACTTGCTGACGTTGAGATGCTTCAATCCTTTGCACTTTCTCTACGTGACTCACATTTTGACCACTTAATATTGGATTTTTGTCAAATCTCACTAACTAAGGTTTAAAATGAAATAGATGAAAGATTGTTCCTGTGTTGTCTTATTGTGAAAACCTGTCCACTAGGCTTTGTCAAGCCTCACAGACAGTGAAAACCTTCCTGCCATTTCCTGCCAAAGGCCTGCTGCCTCCGTCAGACCAGGCAATGGGTCGTGATGAAGGATTTTCAGAGGAAGCTCTGGAGCTCCAAATGCTGGCTGAGTTCAATCCAGAGGCCAATCCAGCTGCTGCTCATGACCAACACAACTGCTAAAGTCCAGGAAGGAACAACCTGAATCCCCAGCAGCCACTGAGGGAGAACCAGAGCCTCTCTGTAACGTCCATCTAGATCAGACCTCCAACTCCACAACAACAGAGTGAGGAGGAAAACTTCACTCTACCAAGTATCAAGTCCTGCAACCTCTTACCCCGAAGAGGACATGGTCCAGTTCCACAACTGGTTCAGATGTTTCTGAAAGGCTCTGCAGCCAAAGACCTGCTGCTGGTCCAGTGGTCAAAGTGGATAGTGAAGATTTGAACCATCACTGTTCTGACAGGAGGCTCAACAATCCTCCTGAGCAGATAGACTGTCAGTGTTCCTGTTTCTACACTTTACCTGCTTTCACATGGAAAATCTGCATTTTCTTGTTGGGTTTTTCAATCATTTACACTACAGACACTTATCTACACCTTCACTGAGTAAATGTAAGATTTTTGAGGGGTTTTCTAGAAAAGACATCATAATAATTTAGCTCTTTCTTAATTGCACATAAATTTACTGGATATAACAAGATAAATGAGCCAAAATCAGTTCAATTAACTGATGCAAAAATCACTTTAATCAGATTAAATGAGATTAAAAAGTGTTTCAGATGAACAAATCACAGCATCATGAAGTTACTTTTCTCTGTGTGACAGATTTCAACATCTCAACATCTTAATCCCAGTTTGTGACATTTGGTCTCCAAGCTGTCAGATTAGTGGAGATTAATCTGCATGGCAGGAAAACTGGGATGATGAATGGATGAATGCAGCTCTAAATAAATCAACTCATCGGCTCTCGTCCGGTCTCGACCCACTATCCTAATGTTTGAAAGGCTTTGCCACGGTGACTCCAGTGGAGACGTGGAGGTTTGGTTTCCTGCAGGAGATTAAAGCCGAACACAGACTGGAGGAAACACTCACAGTTTTTAGTGGAAACAGACTTTACTCAATTAACAGCAGAAGCTTTTGCTTTTATTATTAACACTTTTAATGGACCAAATTCCTGATGAATTTAGACCAAATTTGAAAGTGTAAATATCCGTAATCAGTCAATACATCAATATTTCGGCCCAAATCTTCATATTGATGCATC